GAAGACAAGAAACTCGCTTTTGGAGAGGTTAAATTTTAAAGGGGAAGTGGAGCGCATCCAGTCTGATATGTCGCTCAGTAGGTGTGTGATTCGGGCTGAGACCAAGGGGTGAGGTGGGGGGTTGAGAGATAGATTTGTGTGTCGTCGGCATAGAGGTGTAGATTGAAGCCGTGAGAGTGTATGAGTTGGCCAAGGGAGGAGGTATAGATGGAGAAGAGAAGGGCCCGAGGACAGAAGCCATGAGGGACCCCAACAGAGAGGGGGTGAGGGGAGGTGTAAGCATTATAGGTAACGCGAAGGAGCGTTTGTTGGACAGGTAGGATGGGAGCCAGGAGAGAGCAGAATCTCTGAGGCCGAGGGAGTGTAGTTTTTTGAGGAGGAGGGGGTGGTCGACTGTGTCGAAGGCCGCAGAGAGGTCAAGGAGTAGGAGCACTGAATAGTGGCCATTAGCTTTGGCGGTTAGCAGTCGTTGGAGAGTTTGAGTAAGGCAGATTTCGGTGGAGTGTAGGGGACGGAAGCCGGACTGTAGGGGATCGAGGAGGTTGTTGTACGTTGATGTGAGAGCATAGGCGGGTGTAGACTAGGCGCTCGAGGAGTTTAGATGTAAATGGGAGCAGGGAGATGGGTCTGAGGTTGTTCGGGTCATTGGGGTCCAGGGAGGGCTTTTTAAGTATGGGGGTGATGTGTGCATGTTTCAGAGGGGAGGGGAAAGTGCCTGAGGAGAGGGAGAGATTGAAGATGTGGGTGAGGGAGCGTAGGATGGAGGAGGAGGAAGGTCGTAGGAGTTGTGAGGGTGATAGGGTCGAGGGGGCAGGTGGTGAGGCGGGCATCAGAGAGGATCTTGGAGACTTCCTCGATGGTAGTAAGGTCAAAGGTGTGGAGTGTTGGGGGAGCTTCAGTATGAGGAATGTAGGGTGGGGTGGAAGAGGAGGTCAGAGCAGTGGTGGGGCTGTGGGAGAGGGGTGATGAGGGGGTAGCTATGTGAGGGTGAAGGGGGTTGGAGAGAGTTTGAGCAGCGACGAAGTCCCTGCGGGTTATGTCGAGGGGGAGGGGGGGATAAGGGGGTAGCTGTGTGAGAGGGGACGGGTTGAGAGGGTGTGTGAGTTGCGGCAATGTCCTTGCGAATTGTGTCAATTTTGTTTTTGAAGTGATTGGCAATCTCAAGGGCAGTGAGTGAGGTGCTGGGTGGAGGTGGGGGTGGAGAGAGTAGAGAGTTGAACAGTAGCACATAATGGTGTGATTTTATATAAAGTTTTATTACAGCCCAGTAAACATCAAATAGGAAAGTCCAACAGTTACTTATGGTGTCATTGAGTAAAAATGACAATTTTCAATTACGGAAGGTGTTGTGCACTCTTTACTCAGTATGGTCTATAACTGAAAACAACCCTCAACAAAGAGCAGAGCCCATAACCCCAATTACCATGGCACTTCGTTGCCATTTTGGTTTGAAGGTCACGCTGCTGACAATAAACTGTACATGAATCCATGTTTCTAGGAAGTAGCAGAAGTCCATGGCCTTATCACACTGGTGTCCCTGTTTTGGCTCTCCTCACTTTTAAGCTCCTTTTGGAGCTCATGATCAGATTCCCGTAATCTCCCAATGTCCAGCATGGGCTCTGTTAAAGGCTTTCCTTCTTTCTGCAACTGAGCCAGAGCAATAGCCCTCAGTAGTGGTGGGTATGGCACATAGCGGACAGGTTCTGGCTCCGGCAGAGGGATAAATTGCTTGAAGTTCTCTTCTTCATGCCGTGGTATAAGACGCCAGTCATGGTACATGACTTTGCTGATCTCCTGCTCTTCAGGCACGGTTTTACCTGGGTGAATGAAGAAGATGACCATCAATATAAGATCACCAAGTCACTCTACCTAAGATAGGCTCTGCTTATGATCCTGGATGAGAAATACGCTATATGGCCAAAGCTACAAGGACCCCACTCCAAATAATTGAGTGAATGTGTTTTAGTGAAGGGTACTGTTCATTCTACAATTCTCTAGCATACAAAGACATTTAGATTTGGATGTCAAGCCTACTACACACGGGCCAAATGTCGAGCGGTATTTTGGCATCTTCCAATTTTTATTGGATATTTGGCCCAATGTGGTAGCCGGTCTGTCAGAAGCCAGACGTTCGGTCGGCTTCTGTCAAAGAGGCATGATTGAAGAAGGTCTGCTGATCAGCTCCTGATCAGTGCTCTCAGCCAATGGCTGACAGTGTTGACCGAAGTGTTCTGTCCGGGATGGGGGGGCATCCCTGTCAGAACCCAATAGCACAGCAGGGGAGCTCGCTGTACCAATATCGGATCATTAGTATACTATGACATACAAAGCCATCCACAACACTGCCCCAATTTACATATCTGATCTTATCTCTATATCACCCAAACCGTACTCTCCGCTCCTCGCAAGACCTCCTACTCTCTAGCTCCCTTATCTCCTCCTCCCATGCTCGTCTCCAAGACTCGCTCCAGGGCACAGCTGATCATCTGGAAATCAGGCCAATCACAGCCCTTTTACCACCTGATCAGCGGAGTCCCAATGGCCTGCAAATAAAAAAAAAGTATCGCTGATCAGAGGGAAATGCAAGTGCCGGTTCTCGGCTGCACTTTCCTCACGCTTCAGATTGTGAGGAAAGTACTGCCGAGAACCGGCAGTTGTCAGAGCTCGGCACCGATCATCAGGGCACTGATGATCAGTGCCCTGATGATCGGTGCCCTCAGTGCCACCCGCAAGTTCCGCCCACCTGTGCCCAGCAGTGCGCCCACTAGCTCCGCCCACCTGCTGTGCCCAGCAGATCACCCACCTGTGCCCAGCAGTGCACCCACCTGTGCCACTCTGTAGTGCCACCTACCTGTGCCCAGAAGTGCCACCTACATGTGCCCAAGTGCCACCCACCTGTGCCCACCCACCTGTGCCCACCAGTGCCACCCACCTGTGCCCACCCACCAGTGCTGCCCACCAGTGCCACCCACCAGTGCAGCCCAGCAGTGCTGCCAGTCAGTGCCACCAGTCAGTGCCCAGGGGTTGTGCCAGTCATGCTAAAGTCAGTGCCCAGCAGTGATGCCAGTCAGTGCCGTCTATCAGTACCCATCATCAGTGTCACCTATCAGTGCCACCTATCAGTGCTGCTTATTAGTGCCGCCTATCCGTGACACCTCATTAGTGCTGTCTATCAGTGCCGCCTATTTGCCACCTCATTAGTACTGCCTATCAGTGCCCTTTAGTGCTGCCTATCAGTGCCCATCAGGGCCGCCTATCAGTGCCCATCAGTGCTGCCTCATTAACGTACATCAGTGAAGGAGAAAAAAATGCCTGTTTGAAAAATTAATAGAAACAAAAGAAATTTTTTTTTTTTTTTCAAATTTTTTGCACTTTTTTCATTTATAGCGCAAAAAGTAAAGCCCCAGTGGCGATTAAATACCACCAAAAGAAAGCTCTATTTGTGAGAAAAAAATGATCAAAATTTCATATGGGTACAATGTTGCATGACCGTGCAATTGTCAATCAAAGTGCGGCAGCGCTGAAAGCTGAAAATTGGCCTGGTAAATAAGGGGGTATAAGTCCTGGTAGGCAAGTGGTTAAACAGCTTAGTTCATCAATTACTTTTCTACACTGTTTACCAAACTATTCACTGCAAACTCTACAAAGAATTAAAAGGAAACAATAGGGGTTATCTACTTAAACTGGAGGGTGCAAAAGCTGGTGCAGCTCTGCATAGAAACCAATCAGCTTCCAGGTTTTGTCAAAGCTTAATTGAACAAGCTGAAGTTAGAAGCTGATTGGCTACCATGCACAGCTGCACCAGATCCTGAACGCTCCAGTTTTAGTAAATCTATTCCTATGTATATGTGTAAGAATTTATACTAGAATTTGGAAAATTAATATAATGAGTTAGTTTGGCCAATTATTTTTTTTTTTTCACATTTCATAACCCCTCATTTGCTGTGGCTTCAGTTTGTGTTGCTTGCCTATGAGTAAAAGGTCGGATGTTGCAATCAAATTTTATGGCATACTCCCTTTCAGATGCTATCATTTGAAGGCTGCACTGGGTTCTAAGCAGTCCTGCCAGAAAGACTTGCTTTTTTTTTTTTTTCTTCAATAAAGTCATCTGCAGACAACAGGATCTATGAAAACAGAATTATATAACAAAATGCATCCCCAAGATTCCTCTACATTGATATGTTCCCTCAAGACTAGCTGGACGGGATCATCAGAGAGCATGTACGCACGGTTTTAAGCAAACTCCCACACCCCTTCCTTTATAGAAAACAGTATTTTAGATGTCATCCAGACATTTTTACCACCAACCTTAATTATTAAACTAATTGTAAAGGATTGCTTTTTATTTTTTTTTTTAACCACTTCCTGTCCAGCTGTTGTATATAAACGGCCAGACGGTGGCAGTACAGGGTCGGGTAAACATTTATAAACAGCCTCCCCGCCCCCTGCTTGTGCGCACTCCCTGGGAGCACTGTGATCTAGTGCCCGCTGTGTCCTCCGGACACAGTGGAACACCGATCGTCGTATGGGACCTCTGTGCAAGGTACCGATCATGTAATCACTGATTGGCCAATCAGTGATCACATGCAGAGTATTAAGCAAGATGTTACTTCTGACATCATTGCTTACTACGTGTGAAATCTGTGAATGATCACAGAGGTCACATGGTACAAAGCTATTCACAACAGCCTTGTACCATGTGACAAGCTGTGACCAATCACAGCTCACACAGTAGTTCTCAATGGCTACAAGAATGCAGCCAGAGAGAAGGAGCAATGATTGCTTTTATAGCCTTTATGGGTGTAAAAAGCAATCAGTGTAAAAAAAAAAAAAAAAAAAAAAAAATCTCTTCATCACCCCCCACAAGTAGTAGTGTCACCATGGTGACACTGTACTGCTAGGGCGACAGTATGTTAAAAAAAAATAATAATAATAATAAAAAAAAAAATAAAAATGTACAAACAAATGTTTAAAAATTATAATTTTGGTTATAAACTAATTTGGGTTATTTATTTATTTTTTTTTTACTAAAAAGATAAACGGAATAAATTTTGGCCAAGATTTACGATGAAATATTATTTGCAAACTTTTGTAAGAAAAACACTTTTTTTCAAAATTTTGGGACTTTTTCATTTACATAGCAAAAAAAAAAATCTCAGTGGTGAATAAATACCACCAAAATAAAGCTTTATCTGTTTAAAAAAAATGCTAAAAAAATTCATATGGGTACAGTGTGCATGACCGCCGCGCAATTGTCATTCAAAGTGTGATAGCACTGAAAGCTGAAAATTGGCCTGGACAGGAAGGGGGTAAAAGTGTCCGGACTTGAAGTGGTTAAATAACAAACATGTTATACTTAACTGCTGTGTGCAATGGTTTTGCACAGAGCAGCCCCAATTCTCCTCTCCGTGAGTTCCCCTGCTGGCACTCCTGGCTCTTTGCCCCCACCGAGTGCCCTCATAGCAAGCATGCTTGCTTCCGAGCTGGCTCTGTGTGTCCATAGACGCACAGAGCGCGGGCTCCTCCTCCCTGGCTCTGATTGACAGCAGTGGGAACCAATGAGGAGGGAGAGAGCCAAGAGAACGGCTGCTCCTGTGCACACTGCTGGATTGAGATTGGGCTCAGGTGAGTACAAGGAAGCTACATGCAGAAGGTTTTTTTTACCTTAATACACATTAACTTTCCCTTAATAATTTCTTTGAACTAAAATATTAACATGGATTTCTATTAAACTTTTTACAGTATGTTTTTGGTCTGTTGCTTTTTTTTTTATTTTGTAATGACATTTAATGTACCAGGACCTACCGCGATATGTTAAATAACCCCAGGCTTGCCCATGGTCCATGTTCTGGAAGACACAAACACAAGTTAAAATATGTAAATTAAGATTAAAGAATGAGCACACTGTTAACAAAACCTAGCTAGTTTCATATATTATTTAGGAAAATCAAGCAAGTTGGCAAACATAACCTTTCAAATTTATCCATCCTC